TTCTCCCTCTGGAACATGTGATACTCTGCCTGCTCACAGATGGGAGGAATCTGGTTGAACTGCCGCGCAACCGAGTACGCTTCCTGAAGGAAAACAGCGATAAACCCGAATCAGGCTTGTGCATCATTATAGCTAAGCGGGGGCTTCTCTTTACCAAATCATCTCACCATTATCTCCATCGGGCTCCAGCGGGATGTCCCCCAGTACATGGCCATGCCTTGATTTATCACATGGGTCATCGCTCGAACCGTTTCTGCAGAACACACATTCATCAACACGCCAAAAGTGTGACCTTGTTGGGTTTTCTCTACTGTATAAACCCACACTGTACATGCATCTGCTGCTTCTCTCATCTCAAAAGACATGTTTGTTATCATTTGCACTTCAGTTGGAGTGAGGGGGGTTATGAAAGCTGATTATGTTAATTAGAAAGCTAGGAGTCCTCCTGAGCATGACATTTGATCCTAACATGGCTCAAAATTTACCAGAATCAGCCTTTATTTTCCCCTCTCTCTCCAAATCTACAACATGCTGTTGGAAAAAAGGAGCCAAGTGAAATGAATAGAAGATGACAACCATAAGCGCACTCGTTCAAATCTTTAATCTCACACAAAGTGGGCTGACACACTGGATGACGACTTATTTATTTTAAGCACTGAGGGTTAAAAATCTGTCAGAGATGAAGTTCTTGTTTTTTTCCTGTAATATGGATGCAGGAATATGAAAGACTTATCTCAAGAAAAAATGATTACGCCTTGCATGAAGTAAGAAAGCTGTCCTGTGGTCAGATATGGGTACTGCAGTCCATGTGTCAAAACGGACAAGTCCGCTCTGAGCAGCTGCTGCCAGTTATGGATCAGCAACAGAAGATTGCAGATGATGAGCAAAGACGAGTCATACACAGTAAGTTCATAAGTAGATAAAAACATATCTGGTGTTCGCACTCTTGGGTGTTTTATGGTAGGGAGCACTTAACACACTTATTACGGTAGGCATTAAAGGAAGTGTGGTTGTTTGCAGTAGGGTTGTTAGCTTGTAAAATACCATGACTGACTCAGTTTACACATGCATATCACTGTAATATCAAGTTGTCTGTAATTGAAGTAGCTTGAGATATTTTTAGAGCAGACTAACTTTTCTAATTAACTGTTAGCATTGTTAGCTCGACGTTAGCCTCTAGCCTTCTACACTCGATATCTGAGTAAGGGGTAAAAGAAATAACTTTTGGGCGAACATTTTTCCCACAACACTGCAGACTTTGCAACCCTGCGGGCTCACATATAATTGGCTCTGGAAACAGGAAGTATGGTGGCAGGGCAGACTGTAAACAAAGACTACATCCCGCTTTGGACTTTTTGAAAGGAGAAAATCTGACAACACCCCAGCCATCTATGGAGAAAATCTGTTTCAACATCACCTTCCATCCAACAGGATTGAGTCATTAGACAGTTTTGAGATTATTTAACTGTGGAATTTTTACATATTGCACCTTTAAAGATTGAATTTTTGCTGTACTGCCATATCTGTCATGTAAGAGCATAATCTCATACGAGCTGGCTCTAAATTCCATCTGTTCAGTGGTCAGAGTGACACCTCGTTGAGTGTGGCTGCAGAGCAGAACATGAAATGGGTTAGATAACGATCGGGCGTCTCAGACAAGAGCGGGAGCACGGGAGTGTAATAAAAGCAGATTGCATCAACCCTCAGTAATCCTGCATCCATCTATTAACTACCCCTATAGCTACAGCCACAATAAAACACACCAGATTGACTCAACCACGAGGAACTCCGAGATCTCAAAGCTGTCCGTGTGAGCGGAGAGAAATCGTTAAGACGTGAAGACTGACTTTCCCGCCGAACACCGTCGGCTACTTCTCCCAAACGTGACAGTGAAGTATTACTAAAGAGCCCGTAGGCAGGAAAAACTACAGAACAGAATAAAGAAAAGGACCTCTGGTTCAACTTTAACCCACAGAGGAACTAAACCGCCACAGCAGATGGATACCGAGCGTCCAGCTGAGCCCACACATGGTTAGCACTCTGCCATTTAAAGGTCTCCAGCATCAGTATCTATCATCCTTCTGACTGTGGAGGTGGAAGCACCCGGACCACACGCAGCATGTAAAAATAGATGCTTCCGTTACAAGAGCTTAGTACACCCAGCTCCTCACGCTGCAGTAGTCATCCAGGCAAACAGGAGGTTTATTTTTGAATAAGAAGAAAACGGGGAGAGGAGTTACCTTCCATTGGAGTGTTTGGGTCGGGTCGGTTGGCAAAGACCACGTCCACATAGTCTAACTGCAGTCGTTCTAGAGAAGCCTTTAAACCTGAAAACAACAGATACAATATTAAAGTGCATGATCAAAATAGCTGTAAATCTCAGTGTAACGCTGTTATGTTCCCCCTGTTGTCTTGGCAACCAGAATAAACTCCAGAGAAAGCTGATTGTTGAGTTGCAGCTTTGATCCCCTCAAACTGAAGGCACTAATTAGGATGTAATTTATTACATTTAATCCACTGACACACTGCCATGACTCTTACCTTCTATAATGTGTTTCCGGGATAAACCTCTTTCAGTTTCTGCTCTATTTAAGAAAAAAGAAGAAGACTGAGTTAAAGATAATAATCTAGGATCTGACCCCCGCGCTGATGCTGCATCACCCGATCCGTTTTTCTGAAATACGAGAGGATGCATTCAGCTTTACTGAAAGAAGCTGACAGCAGATCAGTCTGGGTGACATACGATCCCGTTACCGGGGGCATCAGCATCAGACGGGTCAGGAGAAATTGCACAGGAGGATAGTTTTTCATTTGGAACAAGTGAATGAAAACTTACTTTCCGCCCCAGAAGATCTTGGTTGTTATCACCAGGCTTGAACGCCTAAAAATGGAGGATGACAGCACATCTGTTAGAACACCTGCCAAAGAAACCTTCTGAATTACAGGAAGCAGTGGAGTTGGTGATATATGCAGCCCACGCTTGGCTTAAATATGGCTGATATTACGGTACACGCTAATAATGGGAAGCTCAGGATTATTCATTTTATTTTGTGCAGCTTCAGCAGAGTTATGTGGAACGCGGGCGTACGCCGATCTCGGATCGTCTGCAAATGTCAATCCAGGATCGACAAGGTGCACGACAAAGCACAAGTTCATCCATTATTCACCATCTTTGAGGAGACGCCGGAGTGAGAGGCCGCATTAATCTTGATGTGTTGTGAGCTGGAACGTCACATTACACAGCCTCCTGATAGGTGATATGAGATTAGGCAGGCTGGAGGGAGAAAGGAAATTAAAAAGCACCAAACCGGATTAAAGTGTGCCTCCTACCTCCATCCTTTCTTCTTTATGATGTTTCCGAGCACCACCTCTGCCCTGCAAAGCAGACAGAGAAGAGATTAAATAAAGATAGTTCCTGAAACGATACGATCGTTTACCAGTGGCTTTCTGGGGACGGATCTGTACAGGTACTGAAGAGCACCTGTGTAAGACTGGTTCCAGGGGCCTCAGCCACCACCATGTGGCTCATTAGCAGCTAAAGTGGTGTTAATGAGCCACATTACGTTCAGCATGGGGCTCATTAGGGCTGGGCACGAAGGTGTCAGTGGGACATCTCTGAGGTCTTCTCACCCTGACAAATGTGATGCCTCCTGGTGAGACAGCTGTACACAAGAGGCTTTTGGACACTAAGACACGCATTCATTTTCATTTTGAGCTTGGATGAATTTGGCTAGCTGCTCTAAACAGTTTAATGGTGTTGACAGGTGCATGGATCGTAATTCACCACATCTCCTGCTCCTGGCACCAAGTTTGTGTCGATCCCACCGAGTGGTGAGAAGTCTCCTGGGTTGGGATCATAGGGTCAAAAGAGCAAAAAGGATGAGGGATTTTGCAACACGTTCTGCTGTCAGGCTGCATCCCATCATACCTACAAATATGGATAAAATGTGCAAGCAGCATCTTAACTCATTCATGGCCAATGACGACTAAAGCCGTCATTTTATTTTATTATTTTTACTGTGGGCATCGGAACGAGCCCCTGCACCGTGAGAACAAATATCTCAGCTCTAAAGCCGATCTTCATCCGCACACATCACATGATCAGGAAGCAGAAAATCCTTGTGTTAGGAGATCGTTTTGGGCCGCTGCTGTAAAAACAGTGAGGCGCGAACCCGAAAAGCTTCTGCCGATCACAGTTCAACAACGGATTATGAAAGAACGGATAAAGCTCGGAACACGCGGATTCTCCCTGATGTACGATGTGAGTCTCCGCTTTGTTTTGGTTGTTTTGGCATCGACATCATCCTAGCACCCAACGTTCTGTGACTCTTAGCTCCAAACCATCTGAATGAATCATATCAAGATTTTGTTAGGACACTTTCTCTACTGCACTTTTCAAAATCCTGCTTTTCATTTAGTCGTTACCAGGTCACAATCACACACAGCTTCCTTTCTAAGGGTGGGCGGGTGATATAGAAAACTTTTCCAACCATTATTTGTTAGTCCCAAAAGGTACGATGGGCGTATCTGACGGACATATTTGAATGTTTTCAGCAATAGTAAATGATGATTGTGAACCAGTGTTCATTTTGTTGACAAAATATATTATTTTTTGTGACGAAGAATTTTTTGCAACCAAAATCTTAAATTTGTACTTCTGTAAAAATTATTTACGACAAAATTTGATCATCATATTTGTTTATGAATAAAAGACGACAAATCCAATCAAAACACGGAAAAGATGGAAGAACGGAAAAAAGATCCAATCAGCAAAAGGAACAGGTGGGACAGGACGAAAGAAGAACCTATCAGAGAAATACGGGGTTGTGTGTCTGAACAATAACCATGTTGTTGGTCTGAAGCTGGTTTAGAGGGTTTATAAAAACCAAGACTGAGGTTTTAATGGGCTAAATAATAAAGCTAGACTCATATTTAAAAGCCTTGAGCTAACGACTCTTCTTGCTCGCAGGCCTGATGACCATACCTTGACTTTCCAGTTTTATATTAAATATGTAAAAAGACAAACTTAATGTTGAATGATGTTGTTCCAATAAAGTCAAACTGATCTGAATTGGTCACGTTATTACAATAACACACCAGTGTGTTATTCATGTGACTCTCCACTAAACCTGAACACGATTGTAAAGCGGTTCTTTTGTTTCTACATCATTTTCTCGCTCAGTTTCAGATTCTTCTGAGTGGCTCGATTATTAAAGCTGAGCAAATAATCGGTTCCTGTATGTTTTTATTTTTTCACACTTCCCATCCTTTATATTTCAGGCAGCTGAACCTGCTGATAACAGCTGAAAGATTTCAGCCTCACTGACCCAGTTTTATTAAATCATAGAAGATAACAAGTTCCCAGTAGTTTGCAGTTACATCTTATTACTTTTTCATGCTATGAACATTTTAATAAACTAATAACTTCTGTGATGTTGTGTCTCTTGACGCTTTTTCTGCTTTCTTTCTATTGGATGCTCCTACATTATTTACATAATTACTCTGCTGTTTTATTTAAATGTCAATAAAACAATAATACCTCCCTGAACATTCTCTTCGCCCCATGTGGTGTTGCATGATTCACTGTGTTAATCCAAGCAGCCGCAGCAGGACAGTGATTTTAGACCGCTGAAGCACTCTACCGAAGGCAGTAATGTCCATGCTCCTGAGCTTACACTAAGTGTGTGTCTCCTACATACCTCCAGGGCTGCCACTTTCTGTGTAATGTGAGCAGTTTCACCGCCCAGATATAAGGTAGTGGGCCCGGAGCCATTCTGACTCTTCATCCGGTCATTAAATAGGTTATTCTGCAGCTGAGCTGATGCTGCGACTGACAGCTGTATAACAGTACGCTGTTTGTGAATTAATGATACTCCTTTAGTTTAAGATTTCTTAGGAATTATGCATCGGTTTTGCAAAATGTCAGCAATTTGTGTAGGCAAAAACGTTCAGCCTGAGAGAAAAGCTGGAAATCCGGAACACTTCCTGCAGACTTACGAACAACCAGATGCCGTTGGTGTTAGCTGATGGCAACAGCAGCTGGATAAGCGGGGGATCTGCATTTGTGCGTCTCTGATCCATGCTTTGAGCAGATATGTTGGTCAAGCAGGAAAATCAATATTTTAATATGACTGTGCTTTGCTTTTAGAGCCACAATCAACAATTTATACATCATGTTTATCTGTTCATGCTGACGGAGTCGACATCATAGCAGCTCACTACACAACACGACACACTCGTCTGAGTAACACTCTACAGCACAAAGGGTGTGATCTGTCCTACTCCTGTGTGCACGATTTAAGCTCCTTGGTGGTGCTTTGCGGTGAAAGCTGTCAGGATTAGCACCTGTGCAACTCAAACCTCAGCTGTGTGACACGCTGTCACACAAACGCCACCGACACACACGGCAGATTTCTGTTTAACCGCAGCCTGTTTCATAGAGGCACGTTGATCAAAGACCGGGGCGGACATACTTGTGTCATAGATCAGCTCTGTGCTGGTTTTTCCTGGCCTCCCCGACATGAAACAACTAGAACAGTGAAGCGTGTGGAGATGACACGTTTCAGACAACAGCTGTGGAGGCATTAGATGAGAAATAAGGACAACCGCTGAGACCAACTGCTTCTTTTCTTTTTCAATTTCTTCCCAGGCGCTCTGATGCGCTTCTCAAAATGCAATAAAAAAGCAAAAATATTCCTCAGGGATTAAGAAAGAAAAGGGACTTGCTGCAGTTAATCAGATATACTGTTTGCAAAGGATTATCCCTTAGATTATTTCAAAGCACCCAAGTCACTACAAAGTCAGATTAGTCCACAATGGGATTTAAACCATCACTACAACCAGTGGAAAGGCAGCTTTGTGAGGCTGAACATCGCCAGGGCCTGTCTTTTAAATTAGAACCAAACATATCTGTTGTGATTTCAGATCCTCATGCAGGCTGGGAGACATGTTATTTATTTTTGCACCTTCAAAAACACAAATTCAACCACAGGATCATTTTAAATAACCCAAGTTGGATTTTCAAATAAACCAGAAAGAATAAAATTTAAGATAATTATTGGTTTTGCAACTTTTATGACATGTTTTTTTAATTTTTATTTTTATTATTATTTATTTAGAGCAGAATTAAGATATTGAATTACTAAAGTTTAAGAACAATTGAAAAATTTACCAAAAATAAAATAAAATAAAAATCATTTTTTGCATGTTTGGATCTTAAGGAGGTTCCGAGTAGACATTCAACATGAAACGTTTCTGAGGAAAACCTTTTCGCCTAAACTGTAACAAACTGTTTTACTGATCAAAAGTGTTAGACCACATGCCTTTAAAACAGGCCAAGCTTGTGCAATTATGGATTCATAATCATTTTCTGGAAGAGAGTCACAGTCATGACATCTTGACAGCAAAACACTTTCCCTTTTGAATGTGGTAGGATTGTTGAACACGGTGCTTTAAGCTGGACAGTTTGCAATGGTACGCAGTACCGCCACTCTCAGCATACTGGGACTTTTTTTCTAGGGTACGGTGCATACCGGTAGTTTTTCTGGTAATTTATTAGTCGAAATCGCAGAGATTTCTGGAAAAATATATGTTCATCTTCAAACACCAGCCATCCACAGCCCCTCCCCGTCCCCGATACGCTGGACACATGCTCCACGAGGGGCCACATTCTGCACAAGAGCTGCATCACTGCTGCGAGGCATGCCACACATACATCACAGTCAGTACCGGCACTGTATTATAAATGGCTGGCAGGAGTACAGCAACTACAAACTACAAATCCCATGATGCACCAGAACAGGCAGTGCAGTCCTATTTCCTCATCCTTCTGCTGCAGTAGCTCTCGTCGTGAGACAGGCAGGTTCTCGGTAGCTGATGTTATGGCTCGTGTTTTCGTCAGAGCTACAGAATAAAAATAATACATTTTTTATGACTCTGGTCTGGGTTTTAAAATCATTTTATGGTCAAAAGTTTTCATTTAAAATAACCAATAAAGAATGATTATCTCTGACATATTTGAACTGAATCTTAGTTGAATAAACAACAATAAATCAGATCTTGAATTTGCTTTATGAGGCGACATTTGCCAGCAACTTGAACAAAGTTTTGAATTTGATTTAATCTAGTTTATTTCCCCTACAAACTGATACAATGAGCTCATTTATAGAAATAAAATGCCCCAAAATAACATAAAAACACAAAATAGCTACATGCCAGTACCTGGAGCTGTGCATTAGCAGCAGGTATGAGCCAAATATTCTTATTCCTGCCACAAATCCAGCAGCAGTTTGATCACCTGAATGCCAGGATGAGGTGACTGCACACCACTCTGGATTAGACTCACACCTGACAGCGACACTCAGAAGGTATATAATCTGTAGCAGGTGGAGACCTAATCTATCAGCTGCCAGCAGCTTGGTGAGGTATGCCATTACTGTTAGCTGATAAGTGAACTGCCACACAGGAGATACTCACTTCCCAGCAGCATAGACCTCCGCCGTGTCAAACAGATTGATGCCATTTTCATAGGCCATAGTCATCAGCTGCTCTGCCATCTGTTGAGAAAACAAGGGGTGGGGAATAGAGACGGGGTAAGCCTGATGGGAAATTCTTCTGCTTTAACAGATTATACAAGACTTTACTGGTATCATAAACAGTATGGGATCGTATTTGAATGTTGACTTTAAGTTTAACATAATGCTTTGACTGGTGATGGACAACTAAATCCACCTTCTCTCACCTCGTCTGTTATCTGTCCCCCAAACGTCACCCATGTTCCTACGGAGGATGACAGGAAGGCGGGGTTACAGTCCAAACACGCAAACACACAGAGCAAAGTAAGAATGAGCAAACTCCTGCGTTTGACTGCTGATCTCACCTAATCCAAGGCAGGAAACTCGCAGGCCTGACTTCCCGAGGTTTCTGTCAAAACAGAGAATTCATGTGCATTAATTCAACACAGATTTCTGATACTGTACTTCGCACTCGGAATGCAGCTGCAAATTACTGCAAATTTTGAACGGTTTGTTTTCATTTTCTTCACACAAACACAAACAAATAAATAAAAACAAAACAAATGAAATAATGAGTCATGGAAGCTGACAAGAGCTGGGTGTCAGGAGAAATGACAGTAACATTATCTGACAATTAGTGAGTAAGTGTGTGTGTGTGTGTGTGTGTGTGTGTGTGTGTGTGTGTGTGTGTGTGTGTGTGTGTGTGTGTGTGTGTGTGTGTGTGTGTGTGTGTGTGCAGTAAAATGTCAGAAGAAATCAGAGACAGGAAGTGGGGTCTTAACCAGGCCCACCATGACATTCAGTGAAATATCTGCGATCCCCAGGATCCCTCAGCCTGTCACCTAGTGACTCAAATCCCTCGCAGCGATGCAAAAGCTCACAACTCGCCTCTAAACCTCTGAGCCAATCGCAGCCCAAACCAAACCCCTTCAGCTGACAATCACAGCTTTGGTTGGGTCGTTGATTTCTGTTAGCTGTTGAAGATTTCTAAGATGCCTACGGCTCCTTGTTAAAGGCGGGGTATGAGATGTTTTCCTGGAGCCTTTATTACATGTTGCTAGAAATGCTTTTCACATATTGATGACAACCGATAAATTAAATGGTTGGGGAATTTTTTTTTTATTTTAATTGCCTCTAAAATGAACAGTCCTGAAAATACCTCATCCAATCATTGATTACGTCTGATTGTTAATGATCAAGGTCTATCCATCAAACTGCTCCCCCGACTGTCCCTCCCACTTTGTGCCAACCCCTTTATGGGCACAAATCCTGCATTCTCAGCCTGTAGCAACTGCCTGGGACGGGGAGATCAGAGTTCATATCCTGTCGGGTCATACCAAAGACTTTAAAAATGGGACCCAATGCCTCCCTTAACTTTACTGCAGTTGTGTCCTTGGGCAAGACCAGGGTTTTTCCTGGCTCAAATTGAGGCAGAGGTGGTACCATCCTGACCCTGCGCCAACACATGCATACTCTGTGCATTCAACTGCATCACTTTTTTAAAGGCAAAATATTATAAAAGGCTCAATAATATGCATTAGATTGGTGTTTAGTTCCCTTTTTCCCATCTGATATTTATAGTTAATTTTTTTTTACATTTCTGACCTACATTTCAGTAACATTTTAGGTTTGTATTAATAACTCTCATCTTAGTCAAAATAACACATAAATATATCCAGTAAAATATAATCCATTTCATTAACATGCACTTGTATTGGAAATGGTAATAACATTTAATTTCAGCCACTAGCAATGTAATGGTGGCATGTCTATTATGTACGGGTTGGCAATAATCCAGTTCAAATTATGTTCAAAGATAGAAGCATTTGTGAATTATATACTACAATGGCTTGCTGTACATCCTGCTTCTGTGTGCAGCGGTTCTGATCCATAGCGCTGCAGGATGCAGAATAAACAGGATGGTGGGGACGTTTCATCCGCTTGTAGAGTTTAGTCTTTCTTAGTTTTACGATCATCATATATTTTTCTGTGCGCCACTTGACCATGAGACAGCTACCCGTTAGCTTTAGCATCAGCCAACCTGCGTGTAGCTGCACTTTTGATCCCAAACTTTGGACCGGTTCTGCCTTTGTGCCTTTGCTGGTTCCTTTATTTTCCTCCACTGCATCCAGATGACCACACTGTGTGCCAGTAAAAAGCATTTTCTTACACGTAACTTATTTTTGTTCAATAAAGTTCTGGGCAAAATAGTAATTCAAAGATGTTGCACCAGTGCTACGTGTAAAAATAGACACGCGCAGACAGTTTTTTCGTCGCACTGTACAGCCCTGCTCTGATATGGAAGAGCCTGGGAGAAAATCAGTAAGTCAATAGCACCAACCATAGATCTGTACCAACTAGCAAGAAAAGCAATTTTTGATCTTTGTTTGCAGCGGTTTTAGTGCTTTTCAGTGCACCGCTGCTGATACAGCGCCTGTGTAGTGGCGCAACGCTGCAACTGCAGTTAAAATAACATCCATATAGATGGGGGCAGATTGAAATCAGGCTGGGGCGGCACAAAATTAGCTGGAGGTGGCTGCCACGCAAATTTGAATGCAGGAAAAACCTTGAAGACACTTAACCTGCCTTGCCTGCTGGTGATGGTCGGAGGGGCCGCCGCCGGTCTTCAGCAGTCTTCCGTCAGTGCGCCCCTGGACGGCTGAGGCTACATTGTAGCTCATCACCACCAATGTGTGTGTGTGTGTGTGTGTGAGTGTGGGTGGGTGAATGACTGGTTGTGTTATAAATCGCCTTGGGGTGTTCTAGGACACTAGATGGTACTATATCAATTGCAACTTTTACATACCATGCACATATCATACAAACTCTTTAGCTGCTTCTCCTCTCACTCAAAACATCAAGAGTTTGAGATATTTTAGTTTTTTGCACAAGTGGCCAAACTTAGTCAGGTAGTCTTATTTTGCACATACAACACATATTGTATTATATAGCGCCAAATCCTGACAAGAGTCATCTCAAGGCCCTTCACAAAGTAAACATTCTAATACCGTTCATTCATTGAGCCAATCTGTAAAAAGTTTCCTATATAAGGAAAGTGGAAGTATGCATTATAGGAAATATGTTAGTTACCTAAAATGATTTAGTTTTTCTTTTTTGCATGAGGGGGGCCCTGAATATATTGGTATTCTTTTATACTGGTATCAGAAATTATGAGTTTGGCTGTATCAGTAAATCGATATCGATACTAAACATCCCTAGTTTTTATGGTTATTTGACAGTGTCTGTTGCATCATTCTCCTGTATTCTGCAGGTGTAAATTGGGGGCGGGAATCCGAAGAAAGTGGTGGACCTTTGAACTGTTTTTTCCCAAATGTAACTTGCTTGAACGACATTTTCCCAGAAACATCTACTCCACCTTTAAGCTGCAGGACAACAACAGAGTTCAGTACTAAAATCGCAAATCGGTTTCAAACTGGTTCGTAGGAGAACTGAAAAGTATCCTCACATCTGTAATAAAAAATAAAATACGCTTTTTCAAATATATCAAATTATAAGAAGCTGGGAAAAGGAGTGCTCTGCTTCGGCTGAAGTTTCCTCAAGAGATTAGAGAGAAAAACAAGAAATGTGCTGTCAGGGATGATGTAACAAGTGAGCATGTGGGAGGATAGTTAAAATATTTTACAGGCTGTATGTTAAAAGGAGACAGAAATGTGAATGCGTGCAAAAATTTGTTAAATGACTGGACTTTGGACAACAAAGGCTGTTTCAGACTAAAGTTTTAGTGGAAAGCTGAACTTATCGTTGCCACTGCAATGTAGATTCACAGCTGAAAAGTGTTTGATAATCAGCAGCATCTCTAATCTCTTTTCAGTTAATCACACTTTGCTGGATCAAATGTTTCAGCTGTTACCAAAAGACAAAGGAACATGCAGTGAAGACTCCCACTGATCTAGTTAAAACAATCCATTTATGGTCAGCAAACGTCCTCTTCATCACCTCTGAAGCACGATCCAAAGTTTCCGACACCACCGTAGCCAAAGGCTACATTTCAGCCAAAAATGTTGTTTGAAGCATTTTTATTGGGCGCGTTTATGAATAAAATCAGACATCTGTCCACTACTTAAGCTTGGTTTATTTGATCCTACTTGGCTGCAGCTTTCTTTAAACAAGCTGCTGGGTTGTTTCCAAAGCCCCACGGCGTGAAACACAATTACTACTAAAGCGGCACTATTTCCCTTAAGAATGTTTGAACTAATAAAATAAAACTGCTACAGGTTCACAGGCAAGGTGACAAAACGAGAGGTGCTAGTGATCCTGAATGCTGCCAACATGATAGTATTTCTCTCAATGCGAGTCATGCTTCAAAACCAAGTACAACACAGTCATGAAAACAGTACAGTATGCAACAGCTCTTTCAGGAGCAAAGAGTTAAACTGACATCAGAGTACACCGTTCTGTCCCCTGTCAAATAAAGACAACACTCCATCAGCGTGCTGTTGCCTTTAATATCTGACAAACATGGCCTTGAATACTGCTTTGTGCATAGCTTCAACAACCCTCTGCATGAAAGCAGGTGGGTTCAGGTTCCAGTTGAGCCCAGCATACAGCACGCCCGGCGTTAAAGCCGCCCCTCTCTCTTATGGAGGACAGAGACAAAGACAGAGATGTAGTCTGATGGAAATCAGCTGGGCTTCACCGACACTGACGGTGCTAACCCAACTAAACAACACATTTTATTATGCGTTTTCACAAAATCAGACATATAGTGTGGTATGATAATTAAAGCCTAAATATAATTGCACTAAATTAACTAAAATATAAAACCCCAACAGGTAGGCTAGAAGAGTCAAGAGTACTCTAACGTGATTGGTTTTCTATAGTAGGTTGGTTGTTCCAACCGTAGGCTGCACAAAAAACGAGAATAGTTGCCCACCCTGTGTCGACTCCAGTAGGGTTTGGAGTTAGGAACCAATCCAATATGGCTAAAATGCTGCTGCACTCACCAGCGCCCAATGGGGTGTCTACATATTCATGTTGGGAGTTACTGAAAAAGACCTAAAGGCAGGTGCAAGAGAAGCTTGCACCTGCCTTTAGGTCTTTTTCAGTAACTCGTAATTATTTGACCAATTCTTCCATTACCACACCTCCAAGGGTTGGAGTCACTAGAGATGTTGCGCATCCTGCAACAACCTGGAACTGGTCATACTTTTGATCCGTCTTTTCTCCGACATCCAGTCATAACAGATTTTGACTTTTTTTTTTATAATTATTTTATAGTCTATTAAACTTACAAGCATACTTTATGATACTTGTGCTCGACTCTTCACAGAGGAAAGGTATGCTGCACTGCCAATAAAAAGCAGTCTAAAGCCTGATTTATACTTCTGCGTCCGTGTGGAGACACGAAACGCCATTATGCGTTAGCGTAAGGGCTTTTTGACGGACTCA